CTGTGTGTGTGTGTGTGTGTGTGTGTGTGTGTGTGTGTGTGCGCGCGTTAGGATCCATGCTGCTGTCCTCCTCTTCTCTCCCTATCCAGGGAAAATCCCCCTCCTCCCCACGATGCATGCCGCACGGTCCCCTGACGCCATGGCGGGTTAGTTCTTGTTTTTATAAGAAGGGGAGGTAGTGCCTAAGAGTATTGTATCCATTAGACTTCGATTCACTTATTTGTTATGGACAGCTACACGTGTTTACTATTGAACCAATAGACGGTGATCCCGTTGTTTTTGCTTCCTTTCTTTGTGTCCGGCCTCGCTGCCATTTTATTATTTCATAAAACTAGTTCAATAAATTATCGGACTCTTTATCTTTTCTTTGACATCCTCGATATTCTTATGCGCTGCCCTGACCATTTTTGCTGTTGACCAGTTTGATTCTTTCTGGCTTTTTCAGGCTGCTTGAGCTCTTCATATTCTTATTCCTTCTCCTGAGCTAGTATCTGGTCCTCCTTTTGTACGTATTTTTTAAGTCGTCTTTTCCAGTATGGGTATACTAGTGTTATGCCACATTTCCCCTCAGCTCCGTACCTTATGTGTGACAATTTGATACTGTCCTGTATATGTATGTGTATATAACAGGCGATGGACAAGAAGAAGATTATAACATGGCCAGGATTTCACGGAGGAGCTATTATCTCGACATGGAATTCGGCTCTTCCACCCCCTCCTGCAGTGACTATACCCCACAAGACAGGTGGTACTAAAGGAGGGACAATAGGAAAGAATGAAGCAACGGATCGTGCACGGCTGTTCCTGATCTCTTGTGCGTTTCACGGCTGTTCTTGATGCCGTGTTGGACTGAATCACAGTTGTCAGACAGACGGACATGCATTCCATGCAGGCAAAGTAGACAGCCATCTGGCATCACTCGTTGGAGTGACTATACCCCACAAGACAGGTGGTACTAAAGCAGGGGCAATAGGAAAGAATGAAGCAACGGATCATGCACGGCTGTTCCTGGTCTCTTGTGCATTCCATGGCTGTTCTTGGTTTCGTTTTCGACAGAATCGCAGTTGTCAGACAGACGTACATGCATTCTATGCAGGCAAAGCAGACAGCCAGCTGGCATCACTCGTAGCAGTGACTATATGCCACAAGACAGGTGGTGCTAAAAGAGGGATAATAGGAAAGAAGGAAGCAACAGATCATGCACGGCTGTTCCTGTTCTCTTGTGCATTCCGTGGCTGTTCTTGGCGTCGTTTTCGACTGAATCACAGTTGTCAGACATACGTACATGCATTCTATGCAGGCAAAGCAGACAGCCAGCTGGCGTCACTCGTTGCAATGTAGCACGTGTACCGACTGCTATATACAAAAAGCGGACTGGACTCGTGACCGAAGCTGCTCATGGACCTTGTCACAGAGCTATCTGACAGCTATTGCCACTGAGCGAAGTAGCAGCTCGACTCGTTACAAGTCTGAGCACGTACTCATTCTTGGACGTTCCTGGTTATATATGAATATAACTTTGATTAAATTATTGGGCATTTGCCTGGTTTTGATGTTGTTTAATATGTTGGTGGTGGTGGTGGTGGTGGTTTTGTTCTCTGGTTGTGTGCACTAACTTCCCGATTCTTGAATACGCAGCTGGTCTGGCATTCTTTGCATTTGTTTCAAATTGTTTGTCCATTTTTATTTTTATTTTTTATTTTTTTCATTTTGCTCCCTTGTCCTTGCGCAGGGCCCATGCGAATCTTCTCTGTACCGTTCCAGATTTAACGGATTTGTCCTTTTTCTTTTTTGATTTCCCTTCAAAATGCGTTCTTTTCTCCTTCGGTCGTTCTGCAGGTCGTATTTTCTCTCTCTTTTTTCAAGTTTTTTGTCATTTTGCTGGGCTGTTGCAGTGGCCTATGGGGGCGAGCAGAGTTGCTCGAGTACACGGACATATACCTGGGGGATGTGGATGAGAGCGTTGCCACACGGCACACGTAACAGAAAACGAAACGGGTGCATCTTCCCACAGAAAATGGCCAAGTTCATCGGTTTGTTATAAATAGTAACGAGTGTGTCTTGTCACCTTTCGTGGGCAGATGCACATGTTTCTTTTTCGTTTCGTGTACGGTCTGGCGAGGCCGTGAGTCGTATTTGAAATGTAACTGTTGGTGAACAGCTCATGGATTTGAAATTTGAACTGTGATGCAAATTCATGCAATAGGATGAAATAATTTTTATTTCTTTTGTTCTTTGTGCTTTTTCATGTTCAGTCCATGCCAGGATTCGAATTTGAACACCAACAGACTCCACACATCGTACCACCCATGCCACGTCACATCATTATCCTGCGGGGTAGTAACCATCATTAATGGGTCTCCTCTGTGGATCTGCCAAGGGTGCCTGTTATCTGTGCAGTGGACAAAAGGCTGTCTTCTTCGCATACACTGAAGGTCGAGAGCACCGGCGTGTACCGCCAGTAAAACTCCCTTGATACTAAGTTGATTGAGAATTGGGCCATAATTACCATCAAACATGGTCAAAGATATTCAGGGAAAGTACAACTTCGAGTATGCCCCAAGGCCCCCAACTTGCTATTCCGCTTTACTCAAGAGTTCTTACTGTAAGCCACAAGTTTACTGCAAGCTAAGTCAGTCTATTACCGGTAAACGCAATTAAGGCGTATTACCGGTAAAATTTCTGGGGGAAAACTCAGGGATGTTGCTAAGGTTACTCGACATCAGGGTGTAATGAACCCAGTCTGGAGGATACTCGTCAAGTGTCGAAGTACAAGATAACTCATCGCTGAAAAATGTCTCCGATAATCATGAAATGTGATCCGTGATGCAATGTCTCGTAACCATCGGACGAAGGAGAGGAGGGAGAGAATAGACTTAAGAGGGTGGAAGAATTAGTATCCATCAATGACCACAGAGATAGTAGCCCCTCTTTTCCCTCTCCTTCTCCGGGCTTCCCTCGCCTCCATGTCAGCAAACAGTGTCCAAGAAACTAGCCTGACAAGGTCTGATCACATCAAGGTGCCACATGGCACAGTTCTCCCGTGAAGACGTTACAGCAGCGTGCAATGTCGACAGCAACAACAGGTAAGTATCCTCTCTCCCTCTCAATCAGTCCACAGATCCCGATCTCCCTGCTTGTCGCGTCCAACCCAGCAATGAAGACAGTGTGGCATGTGCCACATCAGCAATGTCGAAGACAGCGTGGCATGCGCCACGTCGGCAATGTAGACCATGTGGCACGTGCCACGTCAGCAAGAAGACAGCTGGTGCCAGAGCAGGAAGGCGCCAGCACGCGTGCAGCAGTCTCGCATCGTGGTCGCACAGTGCCAGCGTGCAGCCAGTGTCAAGCCAGTGTCGCACCAGCGTCCTAGCCTGCGTCAAGTCAGCAAGTCAAGACGGAATGTTGACTCCCAGAGGCAGCGTCAATAAGTAGTGTTGACGGGAGTGACCTGCCTCTGGTCCCTCACCCACGGAGGGTCAGATTGACTCACAGCCGACGACTTGGATCCCATACAGTTGCTGTCTGGATACCTGCGTACCAACAAGTGTGTGTGTCTGATCGGCGGCCTGGGCTGGGTCCATGCAGACTTTGACTTGTGGGCCGTTGGGCAGTTGATGTTAGTCAACTGTCGGGCGCAGGGAGCCTGAAGCCATTTCAGGGGTTCTTTTCCCCTTGCGGCCTTAGGTCGGGATTGGGCCTGCAAGTGGCCCTTTGACAAACAACGAGGCATATTGGAGCGGGTTATTGCATTCCTGTCGGCCCAATTTTCGAGTTTCATCGCAGAAATACATTAACTTTCTTTTAGAATGCGCTCATATGCAGCAATAATATCAGGATCAATAGGCAATAGTTCTTTCTTACTAAACCATCTGGCTTCAGGCGGAGGTTGAGACTTAAAGCTTACCTTGAAGTGCTTTTGCGGCCTTCCTCTGCCACTTGTAGAGAAGTATCCATGTTCCAGTATCTTCTCAACTTCATAGCCTCCTTTCATTGAAGGAGGGATCATAGATGCTCTGTTGGGAAAATCATGTCCCTCTACGTATGGCAGGAGTTTAGACGCGTGAAATACAGGATAGGTCTTGCGGTGTGGGGGTACGTAAATTGTGTAGGAGGTTCCATCTTCATCCCCAATCACCTTGAGAACTTCCCAATGTCCGTAGTAGATAGGCAGCAGTTTCTGAGACACATTTTCTTCCAAGGAAAATTCTTTAGATTTTACCCATACAAGATCACCTTTTTGAAATTGTGATGGGCGATGATGCTTGTTGGTCTGCTCAATCATTTGTAATTGGGCTTTCTGTATGTTTTCCTTAACCTTGTTTAAATCTTCTTCTTATAAAACTGCAAATTTTCGAGTACCTGGGGGTAGCCTTTGAACTTGGTCCCAGGTTAAGAGCATCAATGGGACGTTGAGGCTTCCAACCTTTGTGTAGTGCATTTGGTGTTCTCCCTATAACAGTATGTATGTTGTTATTATATGCACTAGCAATTTTAGGTAGGTTATCATCCCAACCTATTTGATTGGGTCGTAAATACATGCGCACAAGTAGCTGGCACAGACGATTCATCTGCTGAGTTTGGCCATTCGTTTCAGGGTGTCTACGTGACGACATGGTCAACCTAGTGCCATAGGCTTCTATCAACTTTTGCCATTGTAGACCGGTGAACCGTACATCCCTATTAGAAACGATGGTTTTGGGAAATTCGTATTCCGAAACCCATCGCATCTGGAACTTTTGGATAGCAAGTTTCATCTTTGCTTCGGCAGGCAAGAGAATGAACATGGCATGTTTTTAGAATCAATCCACAATGACCATTATCTGACTATTGTCATTCCGACTCTTAGTGAGACTCATGAAGTCAATTGAGATAGACTCACCTGGCTTCTTGGAATAGATATTGGTCTCAGTAGTCCCAATGGATTCTCATGAGAGGAGAGGCGGTTAACGGAGGCCCTAATTTTCAGACAATTTGTCATGCTACTTATAACAAAATTCAAGGATCATTTTAAGCAAATTTGCCACCAAGTCATAGAGTAGATACTATAGTCACTAACTGCAAAAACAAAAAACAAAAAATAAAATAAAAAAACCTGTAAAAGTTAATAAAACAGCAAGGCAAAAGTGCACTTTCCTGCAAATTTGGCCAACGTCCTGTTTCAAAAATCTTGAGAAATTTCAGAAATCTTAGCAAGGGAAATTCCAGTGCTCCAAATGAGACCAAATTCGGTACACAACAACCTTGAACCGAAACAAAAACAGGTAAAAAAAAAAAAAAAAAAGTTAAAAAATCATAAAATTTGACCCCCAAACCCTAATTTCAATTTTGGACTTGTTAGTCAGGAGATGAAACTGGGGGTTCCCGTTAACCACGTGTGGAAGGAGCTGAAATTGGGGGTCCCCGTTAACCACGTGTGTCCTTATGTGGAATGCAAAGTTTTTCTTCGGCCTTATCAACAAGAAGAGTAAGCCATCAATCATTCGATATTCAGGAAAAGTTTAGGGTTTCTCTATAGGGTCCCAATGACAGGACGCCATATCGGATCATCTGCATAACCCTTACGGATTTGCTCTTTCAGGTCATTTCCATAGGAGACAATTGTTCCAAAGAAATCAGCACGTCTGGACAAAGCATCCGCAACAACATTAGACTTTACTTTAATTGTTTTCAATTCAAAGTGTCAATAAAAGCGGACCATCTAACTAACTTATCAAAGAGTCGAGGTTGGGTTTTGATCACTTCAGAGGAGAGTGGTCTGAGTAGACAGTGAAGTGTCTCCCTAGCAAGTAGTGCTTCCATGTGTCCAGTGCTGCGACCAAGGCATACAATTCCCTTTCATAAGTGGAGTTGGCCACTTTCTCAGACGGAAGTCTCTTGGACATAAACTCAATGGGTCTATATCCCTTACCGTCAGCCTGTTATAGCACAACCCCAATTTCGTACTAACTTGCGTCAGTGGTGACAATGAAAGGTAGAGACGGATCACCAATCTTTAAGACAAGATAGTGAGTTAGTCCGCGTTTCATCTTTTTAAACGAAGACTCACAATCTTTGTCCCATAACCAAGGTTTTTCCTTCTTCAGAAGTCTTCTCATAGGTGCAGCTATCAAAGAGAATTTCCTTACGAACTTCCTATAGTAGCTAGCAAGTCCTGGAAAAGGTATGAGTTCAGTAACAGTCTTGGGTCTGGGCCAATCTCGAATTGCTATAATATTTTTGTCTCCAGGCCTTAGTCCCTCTTCGTTTACTATATGCCCTAAGTTCAATACCTCAGGCTTAGCAAACTTAAGAGTTCTTAGGATTCAGTTTAAAGTTGTCTTCGCGCAACTTATGAAGTACCATTCGTAGGTGTTTCACGTGGTCCTCAAGTGTCTTACTATACACGAGGATGTCGTCAAGATACACAACTACAAACTGGTTCAACCATTGTCTTAATAGTTCA